AATCCCTCATTTGGGTATCTGCATAACTCTTTTGTCTGCTTTGAGCTGTCTGAATGTTTTTCATGATCTCAACTATTTTGGCTGTAGTCTCATTCACAAGATCTGGACCGAACAATTTTCTATCACCCACCTCTTCCCAACAGATCGGCGATCTGCATGGGCGGTCATATAATGCCTCGTATGGAACCATGTCAATACTTGTTTAGTAACTGTTATTGTAAGCGAACTCTATTATGGGTAAATGACATCCCAATAGCCCCTGAAGTCAAGAACACAAGCTCGAAGCATATCCTCCAGTGTGCGGATCGTCCTTTATAATTGTCCATTAGTCTGAGGGTAGAATGTAGTACTAAGGGATAGTTTTATTCTCATGGCTTGTTGAAAACTAGACTATAACCGAGAAGTGAACTTGGAGTCTATGTCGATACTACTGTCACTGACACTCCATATAACCTGACTATCTCCCGGATATACATTCTTACTACCTTATCTAAGGGGTCGGTTATCTTGATGGTTAAGAAGTGGGAAGACTTAGTGAACCGATCAACAGTTATCCAAATGACATTATGTCCTGAGCGTGCCCTAGGCAATCATGTCATGAAATCCATTGTAATGTGTTCTCACTTCCACTTCGGAATTGGTAATGGCTGAAATAGCCTGTCTGGGCGTTAATGCTCTGTCTTGACTTGCTGACATACCAAACACTTGAAAATAAAGTTGGCCACCTCTCTTTTTATCTCGTTCCACCAAAATCGGGGTTGCATACTTTAATACATCTTAGTACTTCTGGGATGCATGACAAACTTTAAGGTATGAGCCTCTGTCATGATGTCTCTTTTAAGCTCACTCATGAAACACATACCCTGTCCTGAAATCTAAGTAACCCATCGGCAGAGACTCGAAATTTTGGATTTACTCCCTATTCTGCATCTTTCTTGAGGGCTGTTAGGGTGGAATCGGTAGATTAGACTTCCTTTATTCTCTATATCAACTCAGGTTGAACAGTTAGGTAGGTCAAACATGTAACTCTCTTTAGGTCCTGAAGTCATGCCTGTTGTGTGACCCATATTATCCTACGTTCTGAAACCATTAGGTGAGTTAATATACATGTACTTTTTCTGCTGAGTGCGTCAGCTACCATGTTGCTTTTGCCCGTGTGATACAAGATGTTGCAATCGTAGTCCTTGAGGAGTTCTATCTATTTTTTCTGATGCATATTGAGATCCTTTAGGGTGAATATGTGTTTCAAGCTCTTATAGTTGGTATAGATTTGAAAAATCTCATCATACAAGTAATAGCGTCAAGTTTTTAAGGCACGGATAATCGCGGCAAGTTTTAAGTCATGAGTGGGATAGTTTTTCTCATGACTCTTCAATTGCCTGAACCCATACACTATGACCTTCCCATGCTGCATTAAAATACAACCCAACCCCAGGTAGGAGGCATCACTGTAAACTGTATATCCACTTGTCCCACTCGGCAAGACCAACACAGATGTAGTAGTCAACCGCTTCTTTAGGTCTGGAAAACTCATTTTACAGTTCTCGTTCCACTAAAACTTGATGTTCTTCTTTGTGAGCCGAGTCAAATTAGCAGTTAGGCTATAAAATCTTTTGACAAACCTACGGTAATAACCTATCATCCCCAGAAAGCTACGAACCTCTTTGACTGAAGTTAATTTTTTCTAGCCGAGCACTGCCTCAACTTTTTCGGTGTTCACTAACATTTCATCCCTTGATATGATGTATCCTAGGAAGGTAGTTTGTTCGAGATAAAACTCATACTTACTCAACTTTGCATACAACTTATTTTCTCTAAGAACCTACAAAACTTGAGTCAGATGGTGAGTGTGTTCCTCTCTACTTTTTAATAGACCAGAATATCATCGATAAATACAATGACGAACTGATCCAGGAATTATTTGAAAACCTTGTTCATCAAATCCATAAAGATGGTTGGTACGTTGGTTAGTTCAAATGGCATGACTACAAACTCATAATGTCCGTACTTGGGTCAAAAAACTATTTTGGAAATGTCTTCTGTCTTGATCTTTACCTGATGGTAGTAACTGAACACAGGTCTATTTTGGAGAAGACCTTTGGTACCCTACAACTGATCAAAAAAGTCATCGATCCTTGGGAGAGTGTACTTGTTCTTGATCGTGACCTCGTTCAGTCCTCTGTAGTCAATACATAACCTTAACGTCTCATCCCCATTCCTTACAAATGTAACTCTAGCACCTCAAGGAGCCACACTATATCGGATGAATCCACTATTCTGCAATTCATTAATCTGGTTCCTCAGCTCCTCCATCTCCACACGACTCATACAGTAAGGAGTAACCGAAATAGGCTGGGTGTATGGCTGAAGATCTATGGTGAATTCAACTTCTCTGTCCACTAACAATCTGGGTAGTTCATCCAAGAATACATTCGGGAAGTCTCAGACTCCCAGAATCTCTCGAGTACAAATTTTTTCTTAGGTTGCCTAGTTAGAGAAAATAGCTGAGTTAAAGCACTTAATAATATGAAAAATTGCCATGAGCGAATAATGTTTAAAGAATTTTATTAATTTATAACTGACTCTTCATTAGAAGGGTTGAATACAAGTTTCTTATGAAAATAAGATACGGTGGCGTGATACGCCGCTAGCTAGTTCATTCATACGATTACATCAAAGTCCTTCGTGCCAATCTTTATTAGGTCCACACTTAATTTTTTATCTGCAATATCTATGATATAGGCTCTATATATAACCTCGCCCAATAGTGTCCTACTCCCAAGAGTAGACACGAACAATACAGAATCAAGTCTTTTAGGTAATACATTTAAGTTTGGTATAAAAGCATGTGAAACAAGTGAATGTGAGGCACCAATATCAATCAAAACACGTGCAAGATGATTACAGATAGTGTACGTACTATATATCACGCCTGGGTTAGTTTCTGTATCTTACTGAGAGAGATTATAAGCCCTGCCCTAGATAGGAGGTCTGGCTTGGTTCTAATTTCTTGAGCACTCTCTCGCGTAATGTTGGGTACTCCCACATATACGGTAAGTATTGTTGAGGCGATAACAGGGCCGGTCTCCATGATCTTTACTGCAGTGCTGGCAAGTCCTACTGTGTCCTATTGTTAGAATCTGAGGAGGAGCTTGAGCCACTGGCTTAAGTCTCTTGTTCTGCTGAACAGGTGCAGTGGGTGCTGGTCTGCGGTATGAAACTAAGGGCCTGAGATTCCCTATTACTAGAGAAAAAATATGAAGGTTCCTCTCTACTAGCTGTGTCTTGGCCAGAACGGCCAAGTAAGTACTGAGCTCGAACATATACAGCTTATGTCTAATCTCAGGATGGAGGCCCCACTCGAACTTTCTTGCCTTTTTGTCTTCATCCATCATGCTCTCAGGGAAATACCGACCCAACTCTAGAAACTTTCAGGTATATTCTAATACAGTCATATCACCCTGGTCTAGGTGTGCAAACTCTATTTCCT